AGAGAGAGAGAGAGAGAGAGAGAGAGACAGAGAGAGAGACAGAGAGAGACAGAGACAGAGAGAGGGGAGGGGGAGGAAGGAAGAATGAAAGAAAAGAAAGAGAGAGAGAGAGGGAGGGAGGGAGGGAAGGAAGGAGGGAAGGAAGGAAGGAAGGAACTGTTTCCAATCTGTACACCCGCCATCAGGCTCAGCTAACAAACGAAATGCCTTGACTTGAAGAAGGGGCAGCAATTTCCTTCTCTCTATGGCTATGTTTAACATGTTCACGTTCCTGATATGTAAAATAGACTATATTATTCATAGGAATTTTTACAGATAGCATCAGCTCTAAAAATATCTGAATCCGAAATCACAACTATTTACTTTTTATCAAAAAGCATTTGTTTTCCCTGAAGTTTCCCATTTGTGCTGATGGGTGGACATCCATGGTGGTGAGAAACAGAGACACAGAAGATGTTGGTGGAGAACGGTCCCACAGTCACCCCTCAACAGAGGCCCCAGACAGGACTGCATTCCAGACGGACTGCGCTGCACAGCAGGCTTCGGGGTTGCTGCTGCTTCCTGTCTCCAGAAGGCCTGCTGGCCAAGGGTGCCCTCACACTTTCCCTGCCCCAGTCCCTTTTCATCTGCTGCAAGAAAGCACAAGTTCTCATTTTCACAGCAAATGAGGTTTCACCCTCTTGGGTGGACCTCTGGTCCCTGGAGATGCCGAGAAGGGGCATGATCTGTGGAAAACACACATTTTTTTTTTTTAAGGGTGGTGGGATGACCCTGTAGTGTCCTCCTTCTGACAGGTGGCCTGACCTCTTGCCATAGAAGCGAGGGAAGGCAGAACAGCACTGTGATTTAGTGTGCAGACAGGTGGACTGCACCATCGAACTACTGGCCAGACCAGCCACAAATTCTACTGAGGACAGGTGGTCAATATTGTGTTGTTGCTCTGTCAGGAAGACACATGCCTGTCACTGTTCTGCGCACAGGGAGGAGTATGGTACAGTACTTGAGACATCATCCATTAACACTACTGTAAGAATACCATATTGCCCCATGGTACTATGTACAGACAGGCAGACCAATCACACAGTCTTTACTGACAGACAAGCCAACACCATAGCTGGTAAACTGGTATCACTGAGGAAGGGCCAATACTGTGCCTTTGGGTTAGAAGAAGGTGGCGGGACAATGCCAGGTCAACACGCCAGGACAGGAAGACCAACGCTGGGGGGTACGCCACAACCGTTAGGGATACGCACGGATACTTATTGCTTTTGTATGTGCCGTCTGCCTGGATGGCTGCAGGAAGGAGCGCTGTGACACAGAAAACACAACGAACGGCTGGTTGACAAGAAAACACAGTAAAACACCCAGCGCCCAACTGTCGCTGCGCCCTTCTGAGGCGTCCATGTCTCCTGTACGCAGGACTTTAGGAGAGCCTTACCTGAAGGCTGGGGACCCCTCCTGACCTAGGAAGGATGGGGGGTGATCCCAAGGGGTCATGGGAGAGCCCTGGACTCTGATATGGCGACAGTGAGACCCACTGTGGCTGGAAACGGGCACATAAGTAACACCTCAACTACGGGGCCAGCAAATGCCCCAGGGGAAATAGTGCTTGTTTTAAAGTGCAAGATCTTGACACTGTCCCTGGTAGAACCTAGTTTAGAAAAACATAAAGTGCTTTTTATTAACTTATTAATTTGTTTTTAGCTTGAATACCACAGGAAACAAACAAAAAAAAATTCTATCATGGTAAGTACGTTCCCCGTTGCAGCAGAAAACAGTCAAAAGTCTACATGGGGCAGTTCAATGAGGGTTTTTTCCTTTCTTTTTTTTTGTATGTAGAAAATGAAATTGGATTCTTTTATACTGTTCAGTCACACATGGTCTGTTTGAATAATCTATTTTGTCTGCACATCTGACACTTGCGTATCTGTTGAGTCTAGGCTAGCAAAGTATAGAAAGCTCATTCCCATTAGCCCTAAAAAAAAGCTCTGGTCATCCCTGGCTGCGTACCCAAAATCTGAACTCCTTCCTAGATTGCCAGGGGTTATTGAGAATCCAGTCCAAATCATCTACTCACCCAGGCAGTGTCTGGGAATAAAGTCTCAGGTACTACCAGATACCAAGTCAAATCAAGACATTTGAGTAAGGGTCATGCCCTGGAACTGCGGCTTAGGGTGCAGAGATTTCCCCACGATGCAAGTGTCTTCTGTAGCCTTCTTAACAGCGGATCCAGCCAGGGGGCAGTGGGCAGGTGTTTCTGGAGGTGACTGGGTGACACCAAGTACTAACAGGTCGGGCCACTCTTCAGTCAGCAACCTCTCCTTCCAGCTGAGGCCAGGAGAGGTGGAGATGGCGTGCTCTGAGGCTGGGAGAGCCTGGAGAGACTAGGAAGTAGGTCACCTCCGCTAGGCCTCAGGGGTGGTAGTGGTGGCCGTGATCTCTGCTCTTGTCATCTCAGGAGTTGTCGGTCTCTGTGGCTCGGCTGCTTATATGCCCATAGACCTGTCACAGCTCCCAGGGTCTCTGGGAGTTTTCCCTGGGGTCTCTCCTGTCACTGGGGCTCTGCAGGGCCTTGTGTCTCTGAGTTCATGTGGAACTCAGGGGCAGGTAGGCCAGGCAGCCCTCCACCTTGACTTCCTCTGCAAGTTCCCCTCTTTCCTGGGGGGTTCAGATGCTCTGATCCCGAGTGCTCCCATGTGCTCCTCCTCCTCCTCCTCCTCCTCCTCCTCCTCCTCCTCCGGGCAGTGTGCGCACATCAGGGGAGATGTGGTTTTGGAGTCTGCACTTCTCCTGAGCCCCAGGACCTTTTCCAGTCAACACTTCAGAGGAGTAGATACAATTCTGCCTTAAGAACTTAGGGGAGGTGGGCAGAGGAGAGCTCTCAAAGTGGTTCTTTTCGGACCGGGTTCCCACGCTGAGCTTGGGGCTGGTACTCCCATGGAGGCTTTTGGGAGGACTGGAGTCCACACTATAGAGCAGCTGGCCCTCTTCATCTGTATCTGTGTCTATGTACTGGTGGACGCCTGCCTCGAAGTTGAATGCTATTGCTGTGTGTTTCTCGGGGGAGCGGGGAGGTGTCCTGGCACTGGCTGTGGTGTAGATGGAGGACTCTGGGCTCAGCACAGGCTTGTCTAAGAGCGAGGCACACTCCAGTCCTGCCACCGCAGCTGCTGCACCTCCTCTGTTCCTAAGAGAGTCATGAAACATCCCTAGAGAGGGCAGCAGTGGGCTGGGGTCGCCTTCCATGAAGTTGACCTTGAGCGCCCGGAGCTTCAAGGGGTTGTTGGACTTTATGGAACTCCTGGGGCTCTCAACGAAGAAGCCAGATCGGCTGGCCTCAGGAGTGGGATTGGCCTCCACAAGTCCCCCGCCACTGGCACCCAGAGGTCCCCGCCAGCCCACCTCTGGAGCTGTGCTGCACCCAGCCTTGCCAGACAGGGATGCCAATGGGCTGTGGGAGAATCTGGTGGCTTCAGGGAAGTCTGTGGCACAGCTGATGAAGCTGTCAATACTGGACATGCTGCGCATGTCGATGATACCTTCCGTGCGCGTGGGCAGAGGGGCCACAGGGCTGGGGATGCTCTCCATCTCCAGTTCTTCCTTCTGTCTGCTCTGCAGTGCTGTATCCTTGGTATTGAGAATGGGTTGGGACTGTGTCTTGGCCATTTTATTGTACACATCTTCCAATTGCTGGGCATTGAGGTGCTGAGGACTAGAAGATGATTTGATGTTCTCAGGGGACCCCTGCTCCTTGGCTTCAAAGGACTTACTTGAGCTGGTCTCAGACAGCGTTCTCTTGGTCCACTTCCACTTGTTGGGAGACAAGTGGTTATCTTGCACTTTATCCTTCTTACCCATGTTCTCTCCGTTTTTCTCCACCATGATGTCCATCATCTCGATGCTCCGGGCGAAAGCGTCCTTCATGTTCATGGACACGATGCTGCCGTTCCTCTTGGCTCTCTCCAGGGCCTCTCTTCGCTTGATGGCTTTCTCCTGCCTCTTCTGCTCCTTGTAGAATTCAGAGAAGTTATTGACGATTATAGGGATGGGAAGAGCGATGACCAGGACCCCTGCAATGCAGCAGAGCCCCCCGACGATTTTCCCCAAGAGAGTCTTCGGGTAGATGTCTCCATACCCAACTGTCGTCATTGTGATGGTGGCCCACCAGAAAGAGGCCGGGATGCTTTTGAACTTGGTATCGTCCTCATCCTTTTCAGCAAAGAAGACCAGGCTGGAGAAGATCATAATCCCCATGGCGAGGAAGAGGATGAGCAAGCCCAGCTCATTGTAGCTCCTGCGAAGCGTGAAGCCCAGGGATTGCAGGCCGGTGGAGTGCCGGGCAAGCTTCAGGATGCGGAGGATGCGCATGATGCGGAAGATCTGGACCACTCGGCGGACATTCTGGAACTGCAGCACGCTCTTGTTGGATTCTGTGAGGAAAATGGTGACATAGTAGGGCAGGATGGCCAGCAAGTCAATGGCATTGAGCGGACCCTTGAAGAACTTCCACTTCTTGGGTGACGAGAGGAACCGAAGCAAGTATTCCATGGTGAACCAGGCTATGCACACGGCCTCCACGTGGGCCAGCTGTGGGTTGTCTGTGTTCTGGCCAAACTCGTCCAGGCTCTGCAGCTCTGGCAGCGTGTTGAGTGACAGGGCGATGGTAGAGAGGACGATGAACATGATGGAGATGATGGCCAGGATCTACGGGGAGAGGAGAGGGCTCAGTCAGCACCCAGCACACCAGAATGCCAGGAGAGGGCTCAGAGAACACCCAGAAAATGACCACCAGGATCCATATGGAGAGGGCTCAGTTAGCACCCAGCACACCAGAATGCCAGGAGGGGGGGTCAGTTGGCACCCAGAAAATGACTTCCATAATGCCAGGAGATGGCTCAGTCAGCACCCAGCTATGCATGATGTTCACACACTGTGGGTCTGCAGGGCACACCCCAGTGTTCAAGTGATAGTCACTTTACGACTGACTGAACTAAAATAGATTGTTTCTTCAGATTCATTTATTCTACAGATGTAAAAATTGAGGCCAGAGTATTGAAATGATTTCAAGCTTGTCAGCAAACAACCTTTTCCTGTAAAGACCCAGAGAGTTGGCTGGCCGTGAAGCCAGTGCCTTGTGCCACAGCTGTGTAAGTCCACAGTGGTAGCAGCCTGCAAAGCACATGGGCACGGGCATGGGAATGCCTGTGTTTCAATAAAACTTTATCCATAAAACAGGCAGGAAGTTGAATGTGACCCCTGGGCATAGTTCTGGGTTGTGGTATTGCTACCTGGGCTGAGTGCCAAGCAGCGGAGCTCTCCCCACATGATAGAATAGCTTACCTTTGTTCTCATTTGTTTTGAAGACAGAGTCTCATCGTGTTACTCAGGCTGGCCTGTCATTTGTGATCTTCCCGCCTCTTCCTTCCAAATGCTGGGCTTGCAGGGGAGCAGCCCTTGTGCTGCCCTAACCTCAGAGCTATATCAACCCTCTCAGGTGCTACGCTCCACTGAGGCTGGATGTGGAGGCCCATATCTGCAAGCCCAGTGCTGTGAGGTGGAGGCAGGAGGATCAGGAGTTAAAGGCCAGCCTGGGCTTTCTAGGTTCAATACCCAGCACCCACGTTGGACAGTTCACAGCAGCCTGTAACTCGAGCACTGCACACAAATGTGCAAACCCACCCACCCACTTCCCACCCACATATACACATAATCAAAAAATAATAAAATAAAACTTTTTAAAAAGCAGCACATGGTAGAGCCAGGATTTGAACCCAGGTTGGTCTGACACCCTCAGCATGAGCTCTTAGGTGTGTGAAAAATAAAATGAATGTTGGCAGGTGTGGTGGTGCACACCTGTGGTCCCAGCACTTGGGAGACAGAGGCAGGCAGATTTCTGTGAGTTCATTCAAGGTTAGTCTAGTCTACATAGTGAGTTCCAGGCCAGTTGGGCTACAGGGAGACCCCATCTCAAAAAGACCAAAAACAAAACAAAACAAAATGAATGCTAAAGACTGTTTTTTTTTTTGTTGTTGTTGTTGTTTTTAAAAAAAGCCTGACACACAGGCCTCGAGGGTCACTTCCCAGTCCTGGATGTCTCTTAGGAACTCCTGGTTAGAACTATGAACTTTTGGGTCCGAGGACCTCTGCTTTTGCCCACTCAGCCCTCTGTATCAAGAAGAGAACTTGGGGGTGAGGGAGACAGCTCATCAGGTAAAAACGCTTGCCTATGACTTGAGTTTGAGCTCCAGAACCCACATAACGGTGGAAGGAGAGAACTGACTCCACGAAGCTGTCCTTTGACCTGCACACGCACATCACACACTACCACTGCTATTAAAGAGGGTTGGCCCACAGAAATGGCTTGATGGATGTTTGTTGACATTAAGGAATCCGGCTGCAAGTAGATATAATAAATGACTTTGTCTTTCTGCAAAAATACAAATCCAATCACATCAATCTCTGCTTAATACATTTCAGCCTTTCTCAGCAGAGAATTAAATCCGAAGAGTGTCCACCACATTGTCCTGTCTTCTCTTTGGTGATTTATTTTGCTACTGCCTGGGGCCGGGCCAGCTCAGATGCTTGTCTGATGCTGGCTGGCTCTGAGGTGCTCAGAAAATCCAGGCTCAGTCAATCTGTACCCTGGGCTCAGCCAACTCACCCTGGAGAATATGTTTCAGGGATCCAGGGAGTGAATGGTTTATGGGAGGGGGAGAATTAAATGGTCACATGATAAGTCCAAGTCCTATCAGTGCCTCCCAAGTTGTAGGACACTGAGATGCCATAAAAGCTCAGAGAAGCCAGGTTTTGTGGTACATGCCTTTGAGGCAGAAGTAGGCAGATCTCTATAAGACAGGAGGCCAACCTGGTCCGCATAGTGAGTTCAAGGCCAACTGGGACTCCAGGGAGACCCTGTGTCAAAAAACATACCAAAAGCAAAAACACAAAAAGATCAGAGAGAGGTCAGGAATGCGGCTCAGTTGGCAGTGCTGGTCTAGCATGGGGAGGCCCTGGTTTAGCCCTAGTACTGCATAAACCAGACATGGTGCTGCACACCTATCATCCCAGCACTCTGGAAGCTGGGGCGGGAGGATCAGGAGCTCAAGGTCATCTTGACCACATAGTGAGTTCGAGGCCAGCCTGGGCCACATGAGACCCTATTCTCAAACAACAAACCGATCCAACCAAACAGCTCCCCTCCTCCACTACCCAAAACCACCACTAACAACAGACCAAAGTCCAGCTAGAGTGGCTCTCTCCTGTCATTTTCCCTTCTTTCCTGAGAAAGGACAGGCCACTCCATCTTCAGGTCCCTGTGTCATACTGTTAGACCTTGGGTATACTTACCACACACACCTCATTCCAGGCCTGGGCTCACTGCTGCCCAGAATCTGTGAGTACCAAGGAGCGGGGGGCTGGTCTTGAGCTTGCTTTCGGTACCCTACTCCATCTCAAGGAGTCAAGCTACATCTGGTGGAGGATCAGTATACACTTACCAACTGAGAAGCAAGTGCTGGTCCTGACATTCCCCTTGCCACACTGTGAACTTGAGCAACGGGCAACAGACACCAGGAGGGACCCTCTTCTCATCTCTTGGCTTTTCTGCAGTTCTCAGCATAAAACAGAAGCACCCCCAAACCAGCCTGTTTGCCCAGCCTGACATTGGGCTGTGCTCATTCTCCTGAGCTTCTCTTTCAAAGGAGAACACAAAGTCTCACTTACCTTATTCTAAGAAATAACATGCGCACCTGCCCATTTACCCTGCCTAGTTAGTGATGGCTGCATTAAGTAGGCACCAAGGTAAGCATGTCACCTCTGGAATATAACCTTCAGCAGTGTCCTTCCGGGGCTGCTGTGCCCAGATCTGCTGTCTGCTCACCCTTGGCCTTGAATACTGGCCTGTTCATTGCCTCCACATCCTTGTTTCTTTTAAATTTATTATTTTTATTTTATGACTGTATTGCCTGCATGTATGTGAGTGCACCTGTGTTGTACAGTGCTGGCAGAGGTCAGACAAGGGTGTCAGAGCCTCTGGAACTGAAGTTACAGACCATTGTTAGCTGCCATATGGGTGCTGGGAATTGAACCCAGGTCTGCAAGAGCAGTCAGTGCTCTTAACCGCTAAGCCATCTCTAGCCCATGAGCTTCCTTGTTTGTATGAAGCCATTTACGAGGTCTGATCTTGCCCTCTGCTCCTCCCCTGCCCTATGGGACACTTAGCAAGTTTTCTGCACAAGTTTTTGGTTGCTACGGCCCTGAGGAGGGGTGTGATGGGCATCAGTAAGCAGAAGTCAGGAGTATCTACATGTAACATCCCACAATGCACAGAGCAGCCCCTAGAGACAGGATCATTCAGTCTCCCAAGTCAACAGCACTGAGGTTGTAAGACTCTGAGACAGGTCAGTGGTCAGCCTCTCACAAGTTCCAGAGTGGAGTCCTGTGTTGCTGTTGGCACAGGGCTCGGCACACAGTGGCCTGAGTTTAGGAAGTAGAGGGACAGACACAGGCCTAGGCTGAGCCCTGCCCAGCACCTGATGATCCCGGCAGCAACAGATCCTGGGATCTACCCCTTTAAGAACTGGGAGGCTCTATTTCCCCAGGGGCTGGCAGGGGAAGCCTGCTCTTTTTCTAACCCCAGAGGGCTCTGGGAAGGCCCACATCCTAGGTGCGAAGGGCATGAGTTATGCACCAGATGTTGTACGTCCTGAGGCCTGTTTTCTAAGCTGCTCCCCTATACTCCAGAGATGAAACCCAACCCAGCCTGAGGGTCTTAGAGAAGACAACAGAGGGGTGCACTGCACCTGAGGGGTGATGCCTATTGCTGGGGTGTGTGGGGAGGGCCCAAGGCACCCAGCCTCTCTCTGTATGTATGCATTGATAGCATGGGTACATGTGTGTTCCCGAAGCCTGGGGCTCCCCACCCTACCCCCCTGATCCCACAGACTCATCTGTGTCTTTTCCAGACCTACTGAAGCCCTTAGTCAGGGCCCTTCTTCACCTGAAGAACTTAATTAACTTAGTTAAGCCCTTGGTGCCTCAGTTTCCTACCCCAGGAGGAGGACCATCGACACATGGCTACAGTGGAATCCAGCGGGCTCGTAAGGCCCTCATCAGTGTGTGGCACAGCTGTCCTTAGCTGATACTGCTATTTATCCACAGCTTTACATTTGTTTATAAGCTGGCTTTGGACTTGGGTTCAAGTCTTAGTAGTTTTATTCTTCAAATCTGTGGTGTTGGACAAGTTACCTTACTTCTCTGAGCCTTCAGTTTTTTACCTATTAAAAACTAAATCCATCTTGTTATCAGGTCACTCACTATCAGGTAAGTTGTTACCAACCCTCCCCCAGCCCATGGTCTGGTGGCTTCCAGGACCTGTGACCCTATAGAGTCTGGATACGGCACTGGGCTTCATGTGACCAGCCCTTACACTCAGAAGGGCATGTGGACAAGCCCAGGTGCAGAGGGACTGGGGGACAGCCACACAAGGTCCTCCTGGTCTGGCTCAGGCCCAGATAAGCCTTGGCTCTCCTGGGAGTGGAGGCTAGTCCAAGCTCTGGACTCAGAGGGCAGAGGTCAGCCCTGGGGCCTGGGAGCCTGAGCTGCATTCCTTTGAGGAGGTCCTGGGTCCTGGGGTGCCCTGACTGTGTGAGGGGAGAGGGGCAGATGAGGGACTGAGGGCTGCTCTGGCTCCTTTGCCTCTGACC